TAAACTATGTTGTGATGCCACTTTTATTGACATACAATGATAATACATGTAAGGCTCTTTAATTAAATTTAGAAAATAACTAAATTGCCATGACATGCACCCTTTGACCTGTCTGTTAAAAGAAGATTAAACTACTTCATTATGACAATACCATAGTATACGAATAAATATTACTCTAGAACGTAGTTAATAAAGCAAATTATAATATTATACAGGTTGTAATTTCTTAATTTTCTAAGGAAATATTTAAAAAAAACACCTCAATTTCTCCTGTTATGAGAATTGTGACATTTAATCTCTAGGTTTCTCCTCTTTGCTAGTTTATTTAACACTCCTCTCAAAAATATAAAATCTATAGTAAATTACTCATTATAATATAATTATTACTCAGGCAAAGTAAAAGTTTTATAACCTTCAATCTTGTTTGTTTACAGAGCCATAAAGGAAAAAATCAGATTCACATGCCGCACCTACCTGTCACATCTGCTTTTTGAAAATTGCTAATAATTCTCTATATTTAATGTTAAATTATTTATAACATAGAAAACCAAAGTTTTAATCTATCAAATGATGTATTATGTTACATTGTTTTCTGTACTCAGAAATGTCTATTTCACTTCCAGTTCAAACTTTATGTCAGTGGGAAATATATCAATTAACTTAGCTTAATTTTTTAAAGGCTCTTATCATATTTTCAGAAAGCCACAAAAATTATTATAGTAAGAGAACATGGTTTTTTTTATGTGCATTATTTAGTTAAATGAAAAATAATTTAGTGTAGTACCATTAGTATAAATAAGTAGGCTTAAGTTTCATCAACAGCCGAAAGCAAAACAGTAAATTACTATATTTCTCGTTTTTCATGTGCATTATTTATTTATTATTAAAAAGTAGCTAAAATGTAAAAACTTATTTGGTAAGATAATAAAAACGAAAATTCTTCATGAGGTTTGCTATATGATACATTAATGTGAGCTGAATATTTGCAGAGTGCTTTACAAATTCTGTGGTGGGATTATTAGTTAAATACAATTCAAATGTCAATAAAACAATTACAATTAAGTATAACTAGATGTATATTGTTCAGAGTTTTAGGCTATTTAGGATAAAAAAACTTGTGGTTTCCTGTTACAATTTTCAGTAATTATAGAATGAAAAAACAGGTAGTTTAGACTTATTTCTTAATTTTTCATTGTGGTTATGAGGTCAGTCAAATCAACCAACCTGGTACAGAGTTAGGGTAGAGAAAATAACAGATGAAATGTAAAGTTTTTCAACAAAAAGTTTAATATTTATTTAGGATGTTTAAGAGATTATATGCAAACTTTATATTTGTTTTAAGCTGTATGATATGATAATGAGCAATAACTCAAAACATCATCCTTTTAAATTAAAAATATAAAAAAAAACTTAATTATTTAACCTCTTCTTTGATTTAGTCTAGTTCATTAAACATATTAAGAAAGATTCCTGTAGGGTCACTGCAATTTTCATTTACATTTTTCAATAAAAAGCTAATATTTAACTATTCATTTCTCTTGAACTGAAACATCTTAATCTAAAGCATGACGAGCAGTTACGTCACTAGAAAGAAAAGTACTGACAGAAAAACAGAAACAAAAAACTTCCTGAATATCTAGAACCATGCGTAGAAGCAAACAGACCAAAGGTACTAAACATGTTAAATTTGAAATTCAAGTTTCAATGTACTAAAATAGTGTTAGCTTCTATATGTAAATACCTACCACAATTTTGTTCATCAGAATAATCTCTGCAATCATATCGTCCATCACATTTTTGTCTTTTG